TTGATCTGAACTCGAGTGGTGTTTTGTTATTGGACTTCTGTGCAAGCCGCAGTTTGGCCATAACGAACACCATGTTCGAACATAAGGATGCCCATCGGTACACTTGGTACCAGGGCAGCCTAGGTCGCAGGTCGACGATAGACTTTGTAGTCATATCATCTGACCTGCTGCCGTATATTTTGGACACCCGAGTGAAGAGAGGAGCGGAGCTGTCAACTGATTACCACCTGGTGGTGAGTTGGATCAGATGGCAGGGGAAGATGCCGCGTAGACCTGGCAGACCCAAACGCATAGTGAGGGTCTGCTGGGAACGCCTGGCAAAAGAACCTGTCAAGACGGTCTTCAACTCCCACCTCCGGCAGAGCTTTGACCGCGTCCCGAGAGCAGTGGGGGACATTGACTCCGAGTGGGCCTTGTTCCACTCTGCGATTGTTGAGGTGGCTGTGGTCGCAAGGTGGCTGGTGCCAGTCGTGGTGGCAACCCCGTACCCGCTGGTGGATACCAGAGTTTCGGGGAAACGTCAGGCTGAAGAAGGAGGCCATTATTGTTCATTTGACCATATGAATATTTACTATTATAATGGTTCAGTTCTTTATTCTGTGCAGGACAGCCTAGATAAGCAGACAGGCTTGGCAGAGAAGAACCTTGAGAAGGGAACATGATGTTGACAATACGTTATCATGTGTTCAGAGCTGGTGAACCTTCTGGGCTTGTTGGAAGGTAGAATGTAAAATCCACCTTAGAGAATGGAATTTATGACTGTAGATGACCGGTTGCATGTAGGTCAATCTGTAGGTAAAAACTGACCATTCCTGGATGTTACAGACACCAACATATCTTAAAGAAACAACCTAAACTAAATAACCAGTCCCACTAATCCAGTTTAATAATAACATATTTTTTATTGAATCCTGACTTTGTTGTTAAATCTTTAAAAAAACTGTCTCCTTCTGGCCCCCCTGGTTCCTCTGACTCCCAGCTGAGAAAACTGGTCATGTGGACATCGTGTGAACACGTTCAGAAAAGTTCTGGTGCTGATCCAGAAGCCAGGTGCAAGACCGCAGATCTTTTGTTAAGTTGCAAACTGCAAACGAAAGTCGTGTAAGCGGGTTTCTCCACCTCGTCAGGCTGAATAAAAGCTAAGAATGAGCGCCGGTCTCACCACTCGCCGTCCATCGGACTGGAACCAGTATTGATTAACAGGTCTGATAGACCCGGTGGCCCCAGCCACCAACTGTCGACTTTGCCTCCTGCCTTCTGTGTGCACCGGCGATAGCGGGTTTAGGGTTACGCGCCGGCCCCTGCTTTCCAACTTTAAAAGGCTGGAAATGCAATTTCTGCATCTGCTTAAGTCCATTTCTGCATAGGCTGACCCACTGCACCACTGCTCTAGCTCTCCTCGTGCTTTCCCATCCAATCTCTCCCCAGATTCTCCCAGGCCTCTCAATGTTCATGACGCCAAAGAAGAAGAGAAAAAAGGTGGGTGTGTGGGGGTGTTTCTCACAGAGTTACTGAGGCATGCTGTGAAATGTTTGTCTTCCTATCCTTCTCATGGGAAGGTCGGACTCCTTTCAAACTCACGGCTGTTCTTTATGAAACAACGTGCTGATGTGACTCATTCATATGGATTGTGAGCATACGTGACCTTGTGGGTCTGAGGTGACTCTTCAGTTTAGTGAAATCAATAGTAGATTGAGAGGAGTGGATCGATAGAAGGCGTTTAATGACAAGAGGTCATCTGGAGAAAACCCCAGAGTCTGGGTTCACGTGGTTCTGGTGGATCTCCAGCAGATGGGCACATCTGGATCGTTCATATGCTTCAATCTTTGAATAATACGCATAGTTTCGTGATTTGCTTTCTCCATCTTTCGGTTATTGGTCTGATTTACCAAGCAGCATTAAGTCCATTTAAACTTTCAGTTTTATTAAGTCAGAATCTCTAAAACCACAACAGCAACTAATCAGAGACCAAAGAAAACAAGAAAAATGTGCAAATCTTAGTTAACCACCCTGAAAGGGTAGCTGCAACAGTTTTACAGAAATGAAAAAGTCAAGAGTCGTACAACTGTGTTTCTGAATTATGAGCAAATGCACTACATTGCCAAAAGTATCAGGAGTCGTGCCTTTACGTGCACATTAACTTTAAAAGCACACCTTCCTTCATTTGCAGGGTTTATTTTGCAGTGGATCCACTTCTTGCAGCTCTTCTGGATGGTCTGGGGCTTTATTTGGCACTGATGTCCCCCTGGATCTCTGCTCCAATTCACCCCAGAGTCGAGGTCAGGGCTCTGACCAGGCTGGTCAGGAACTGCAACATTTACTACATTTACGTAATTTTCTATGTTGTGTCCTTTTAAACACATTATCTAATAAAGTTCTGGTGTTTTACTGGATTACTCCAGTCCTGCTCAGACAAAGTAGGCACTAAGCCTTTGGAAAATCCAGAAAATGATTGTGCTTGGACCCTTAGTGCAAATCTGAGATTGGTAATAATGAGCAGCAGCAGACGGAGTCTTCTGCACAGTCCTGCCTCAGAGACACTTTAGAAAGTAAAGAGTGTCTCTGGTGTCGTTTTCAGCAGAACGCTTCCTGTAAACGTGAAAACTAAAGCTGCACTTACAAACACGGATCTGTATCTGATGCACCAGAGAGCGTTTTGATAATTCAAATAAATCATTTTAACCTTATTTGAGACTCTATATCATTGGAAACTCATTTCAAAGTTGTCTCTCATTTCTTCTACTTTCTGACTCATAAAATAATTTGGAATTATTATTATTGGATGTTTTTTTTATTTCTGCAAAAGTTTTCAAAACTCCTTTATCATTTACATCTCTGCCAATATGTTTCCAGCAGTCAGCTCCCAGTCAGATTTTTTTCTAAATCAACCCACCCCTTTAGGACCCCCAAACCAAGCCTTTAGCAAACACTGACGCTGGGGTCTAATTAGTTGTGATAAAACCTGCTGATTGGAAATACGCCGCCTGTCTGCCAAACAGTTCTACTTCTATTTGAAGATGTTAAATCCAATAAGAAGTGTGAATGACTTTAATTAGTGCTATCACCATGTTGTTAGCGTAGTTACACACACACACACACACACACACACACACGGTCCAGCTTGTTGGGCTGCTGGTGCAACACTGTAATTGCCGACACAGCGAGTGAAACATTGGCTGCAGCGTCCAGACAAACAGTACCCCCCCCCCCCCCCCCCCCGTTCCTCCCTTCAGACCAAGACGGCCCCCCAGAGTAGCCCTCACCTGCCACACACACACACACACACACACACACACACACACACACACACATATTGTCTCCAGTCAGGCATCATGTACATTTTCACTTTATCAGACATCCAAAGAGGGCAGGAAGTCTCTCTCTCTCTCTCTCTAAATGATGGACAGCATCACGGCACCCTTCAGGTTTTCTGTTACAAACCGATGACAAATAAATTACTGTTTGTCAAACACATCAGATTAAAGCTGCTGGTTGCAGAGAAAATGACTAAAAAGGCTTTTATAATAAACGTTTGATGCACAAAACGGTTGTGAACGTGTTTACATGTTGTGATGATTGCCTTGCTTCGTTACTTTAACTGGCCGGTCGACTCATGGAGCGTGTTTAATTCCACATATCTTATTAAAGCTTGAACTGAGCGTAACTAAACAACCTAATAAATAAACTAAATCTAAAAGATGTTTGATTAAAAGGTTAAATGTGATCAGTTTACAGTTTAACTATCCTAAAGTTGTGTGTTCATATTAATATTGTATTAAAGCTGTAATTGCCACCAAGTTAATAAAGAGGCAAACATTAACCATCTTTGGTGTGGTCTTGCTGTGCTGAGTGTCAAATTTCATCTTTCAGTTCTTTTTAAAACACAGAAAAGGTTTATTTACCTGCAACGCTTCGTTTGCGGCTGCAAACATCGTCAGGCTGACGCTGATGGTGTCGCCCTCTGCTGCCTGCTCTCGCCTCTCCGATGATGCAGTCCCATGCGCGATCCAACGAGTAAACTCCATCGTCTCTGTTCATGGTCCCGCATCCACATCTCCTTATCTCGATAGCTTCTTTTATCCATCTTTTGTATTTCTGTTGTTTGGTGTTTATGATCCTCGTGTTGTCCCAGTCCATTATATGGAAACACCGAACAACAGAAATACAAAAGATGGATAAAAGAAGCTATCGAGATAAGGAGACGTGGATATGAGACCATGAACAGAGACGATGGAGTTTACTCGTTGGATCGCACATGGGACTGCATCATCGGAGAGGGGAGAGCGGGCAGCAGAGGGCGACAGCGTCCTCTGCTGCCCGCAAATAAACAAAGGAAGTGACGCGCCACTATCAGCGTCAGCCTGACGATGTTTGCAGCCGCTAATGAAACATTGCAGGTAAATAAACATTTTCTGTGTTTTAAAAAGAACTGAAAGATGGAGGCAAACATTAAAATTGTCATTTTTCTTGCTTTGTTCCCTGTCCAGAAACTCAAACAGGAACTTTATACTAACTATGCTGCTCTTTAAGGAAGTTAATGTTTTACCCAAGACTAACTTTGTTGCACTGAATCAATTCAGTAAATGTAATCTAAGCAACTTTTTACCTGCATGAGCGCAAACTCACCTGTGGCTGAGAGCAACAAGTATTCCTGTTTTCCTGTGGTTGGTATCAGTGACGCTCTGATGCATCTACTGGTTCTCTCATTGGCCTGTTAGTTCACTCTGCATTCCTCCATAATGTTTCTATTGTCCACACACACACACACACACACACACACACACACACACACACACACACACACACACACACACACACACACACACACAACGTCGAAGATTGCATGTAAACAATGACAAATGATTCTAACCATTCCTCCGGGGAGAACATTAAGCAAATACCTTTAGAGACTCCTGATTGACTTGCCTCCAACTCCCTCCCAGCAGCTGGGGAGAGGAGGGAGGGAGGGGGAGTGTCCTGCGTCCCCCACATAAAGCTCAACGCGCCTGTCAGCCAGGGAGCGCAGAGCGCAGCACAGAGAGCATCAACACAAAGGAGCGCGCGTGTTTTTGGCCTGAGAAGTGTCTGAGGTTTGGCATGAGAGGGGCAGCTTTGCGGGATTGACCGGACCTGCTTGCAGAGCGCATGGTTGCAGTGACTTTGGTTGAGGGTTGATCAGAATCCAGAGATGGAGAGGAGCATCCCGGGATGGTGCGTGCTCGTGGCTCTCATCCTGCACGGAACGCGCTGCAGGGCAGCCAAGGAGCTCCAGTGCCAAGAGATCTCCGTCCCTCTGTGCAAAGGCGTGGGCTACAACTACACGTACATGCCCAACCAGTTCAACCATGACACGCAGGACGAAGCCGGCCTGGAGGTGCACCAGTTCTGGCCGCTGGTGGAGATAAAGTGTTCCCCGGACTTGCGCTTCTTCCTCTGCAGCATGTACACACCGATCTGTCTGGAGGACTACAAGAAGCCGCTGCCGCCGTGCAGGAGCGTGTGTGAGCGCGCCAAAGCCGGCTGCGCTCCGCTCATGAGGCAGTACGGGTTCCCGTGGCCCGACCGGATGAGGTGCGATCTGCTCCCTGAGCAAGACAACCTGGACACGCTATGCATGGACTACAACCGGAGCCAGACGACCACCGTCTCCCCTGTAGTCGCCAAGCCCACGAACCGGCCTTTGAAACCCTACAACAAGAAGAAGAGCGGGTACGGTCGGGGCTTCCCCGGGAAACACAAACCTGCCGCGTCTCCCTGTGAAACCGGGTGCTTCTGCCGCGCGCCCATGGTGCCCGTGGCCGGTGAGTTACACCCGCTGCACAACCGAGTCAAAACGGGACAGATCACCAACTGTGCCATGCCGTGCCACAACCCCTACTTTACGCAGGAGGAGAGGACTTTTACTTCTTTTTGGATCGGCCTCTGGTCTATTCTGTGCTTCATCTCAACTTTCGCGACTGTTGCAACTTTTCTGATCGACATGGAGAGGTTTAAGTACCCGGAGCGGCCCATCATCTTCCTCTCTGCCTGCTACATGTTCGTGTCTGTGGGATACATCGTGCGGCTGATCGCTGGACACGAGGAAGTGGCTTGCAGCAGGGAGAACGGGGCAGAGCACATCCACTACGACACCACAGGTCCTGCGCTCTGCACCATTGTGTTCCTGCTCATATACTTCTTTGGGATGGCCAGTTCCATCTGGTGGGTGATCCTGTCCCTCACGTGGTTTCTGGCTGCAGGAATGAAGTGGGGCAACGAGGCCATCGCCAGTTACTCCCAGTACTTCCACCTGGCCGCCTGGCTAATCCCCAGCCTGAAGTCCATAGCGGTGCTGGCTCTGAGCTCCGTGGATGGCGACTCCGTGGCTGGGATTTGTTATGTGGGCAATCAGAATTTGGATAACCTGCGGGGGTTTGTGTTGGCACCGCTGGTCATCTACCTGTTCATCGGCACCATGTTTCTGCTGGCCGGGTTCGTGTCCCTGTTCAGAATCAGGAGTGTAATCAAACAAGGAGGCACCAAGACGGACAAACTGGAGAGGCTGATGATCCGGATAGGAGTTTTCACCGTCCTCTACACCGTCCCGGCCACTGTGATAGTGGCCTGTTACTTTTACGAGCAGCACCACAGACAGACGTGGGAAATTACGCACAACTGCACGTGCGTAACGGACCCGAGCAGGCAGAGGCCGGACTACGCCGTGTTCATGCTGAAGTACTTCATGTGCCTCCTGGTAGGGATCACCTCGGGGGCCTGGATCTGGTCCGGGAAGACGCTGGACTCGTGGCGGACTTTCTGCACGCGTTGCTGCTGGGGGAGCAAAGCCTCCGCGGGCTCCATGTACAGCGACGTCAGCACGGGACTGACCTGGAGATCCGGCACGGCCAGTTCCGTCTCTTGTCCCAAACAAATGCCACTGTCCCGGGTCTGAACAGGTGGGGAGGGGGTGTGCACGCGCAGGTGCATCTTCTGTCATTTAACATTTAAAGGCTTAAAAACACATCAGCTTTTGTCTCTTCTGGAGTAAAATTTTCTAACTGAGCCAACATGAAGCTTTGGCTCCCACTTCATCCCTAATGTGAATTATCCTTTGATTTTATTTCCCTTCATGTGTTTTTACTAAAGTTAAAGGAACGTGCGCTCCTGTTCCTTTTGCCCTATCCAAATGACATCCACTGATGGGGGAAGAGAAGGGGGGTGACTAATTGTGCTGGGATGTCCATCAGCGTGTTGTAATTAGCACATTAATGAGCGCCTGATGGCTTCTCTTTAAATAATGAGAGCGTCGGCAGCAGAACAATGTACCTGATGGGAAGAATGCGGAGTCTTATCAGCCGACCGCGTAAAGACGAGATCCTCCTGGCCGATTGGTCACGTGTGGAGTCTCCTGCTCTCCTCACTGTGAAGCACCGCAGTGTCTTAAACACCACATCCACACAGTCAGGCTGTTTGTCTTCTAAACGCATTAATACATTCATCCAAATGCCTTAATAACGCTTCATACGGGTCCCGTCCGCGCGCAAAGTGTATTTATATAATTATTGCTGTACAGGGTGTACATTTGTAAATGTGATTTCAAGAGACTGTAAATATGTTTCATTTTCACTTTGATAGAAAACTTTATTTTAAAAATAAAGCGACTTTTAATGAAAGTTTAAGGTGAATCGTGGTCATTTTAGGAGACGTTTAACGCATTTATTACGGAATAATGTATATTTATGAGGTAAATACTTTAATCCTTTAGAATAGCTAAGTCTTTATTTTGACTGTAATAAAACACATTTTATACGCTGAATCACACATTTAGAAGCAAAATAATCTTCTATATTTTCAGTTTTTTCCCATTTTGGTGCGTAAATTAAACAGTTTCTCTACCTATAACTTGATTTTATTTATGAAAGGACAAAATGCAACCAGAAATAAAGAGAAATGTGTTATTTTAGTAAGTTATTCCTCATCAGAGGTCTTATTTTCACCGCAACTTGTTGGATTCTAATTAAGATGTCGTGCAGGAAGGACAGGCGTGTAACTGCAGGCTGTCTCCGGGTAATTACAGCTGTTTGGTGTGTGGTCCGTTTATCTCTTCACTGCAGCCCATCAACACCGCTTCAGAGTTTTGGAGACGTTTGTGCGTAAAAGTTCAGGAACTCATCTGTTTTCCACTGAGTGGGATCATAGTCTGTTTATGCGGGGGACTGTTGGGATTTTCTTCTCAAAGAATTAGTTTTTAAAAATAAATCAGATAAAATAGGAAATTGGTTCGTTACAAAGCAGAAAAGTGGGGTTATACCGCCACCTGGTGGCCAAGTCTTGCATTTAGACTGACTTTTATTTCAAACGTACAGAAGATAGTTGGATGTCTTTCCTAGACTAAATAAGTTAAATTAAAACAAAGAAATGCAAAAACGAGTCTGACTGAATAATTAAAGGTATAAAATGAGCAGATTACATTTTATAAAGTGCAGAAACCCAAAATGTCCTCAAGGAAGCATCTTCGCAATCAGCTGACAGATTTATAAACAACCTTTTCTCCTCAAATTTGAATGAATTTAACTCAAAATACTGTAAGTTGAATAAAAATTCAATATTACAACTCATAGAAAAATAAATAAATGGGTAATGGATTCAAATAAAATCTAATCACATGCTGCAGGCATATTTTTAAACACAATTAAAATTTTACACTTCTCACAAATTTAATCTCTAAAATTGATCATTTTAAAGAAAATGTGAGTATTTTACATGGAGAACAGCTGAGTTGTTGCAAATTTTGACTAGATTACTTTTAACCCTTTGATGCATAAATTATGAAATCTTCAACCATGATTTTTTAAACATTTTTTTCATTCATCTTTAGGTGTGAATGAAACAAATTTCAACAAATATTTTTTGTAAAATTTTATAATTTACAAATTATTTATTACATGTCCACCTCAGTGGACAGCGTGCATTCTGAACATGAAATATGTTGGCTTGACTCGCTGAAGTCCAAATGGAGGGGCTCACATGCAATAAAGTCTTCAACAGCTGTGCTTAATAGCAAAAATAAATAAATAACAATTTTGAGTACCTGTCCACTGTAGTGACCATTATGCATCAAAGGGTTAATAGTTTGCTATGTTTAGGATTAAATGGTTCTGGTGAAGTTTTTCTTCTAAATTAATTATTCAGGCCCTAAAACATAACTCGTTCAACCTCTCTGCCACCTAGAAGGTTCCTTTTGTCTTCTAACGGTCCAGATGTGAGTCCAGTTGTGGTGGCTGGAGTTTGAGCAAGAAATAAAACAGAAAGAATGGAGGAAATGGGTTGAGAGGTCACGGCTGATCCATCTCCTTCCAACGTAAACAAAGTGCTGACTTGTCCTTCAGGAAGCACTCATTCCCAATAGAAGTGAATCCAGAGCGTCCACCTCCGTCTCCATTAGCTCCAATTAGCCCTTTCTGAATGAGGTCTGTGTCTGATGATCTAATTAGACGTCTTACTGCTATTAGTTAAGAATAAATCACGTTAACATGTCTGAATAAAGGTCACATGGCAACTGGAACGTAAACAAAGCTGGGTGGGAAGGATTCAGCTTTCAGTAAGAGCATTGTCCCATCAGGAATGATTTATACACAAACGGGAGCGATGGCAGCTCCTGTGATGATGGACGCGCTCAGCGCCTCAAAGCATGCTGGGAACAACCAGCAGGCTGAGCAGAAGACTTCAGGGAAAGAAATTAGAATTTTTAAATACAATTTAAAAAAATCACACTAAAGATAAAGTGTTTAATATGAAACTGAGGCTAAGTCAAGTATTAAACTCCTGAAAGTTTTACTTGAAATTTCTTTATTTCACATTTATGCAAAAAGCTTTGTTTCAAATAAGAAAATAAATTTAAAATTCTTTCTAAAGTTAAACAGTAAAAAAAATAAATAGACCTAAGTTTCCCTGAAGGATAAAATAAACATAAAGGTTTAAGAAGCTAACTTTGCATCTCAGGAGCTAAACAATCAAATCAGTTGGTAAAAAGCACAGAATTAATTAAAAAGTATCTTTATTAAAATCACAAATTGAAGCATCAATAGTTTACCACAAATTATTCACTAAATTAATAAAATATACATAAATAGCTTAATAAACAGATGAATAAGAAAAGTATGAAAGTTTTTTCCAACAATAAATAAAAGATTTTAAACTCTGAAGTTATAAAAGTTTTCTTTTTCTTTTCTGAAGCAAAGTCATGGAAGATACGTGGCTTTGATCCTCGTTGGTCGCAGACCAGTGACTTAAAATCATCATGGTAACATCTTTATTCAGGATTCTTGAAAAAGCGTTTAGAAAACTAAATGCATCTTTTATTCTAAGTATATAAAATTGTAAGCAAGTCTTATCGTGTCTTTTTTTCAGGGTGTTTTTGCTTTGAAATAAGAATAAAAGCTTTTCTCTTCTACTTTTTGCAGTTTATTTTTCCTGCAGGAGGAATGTGAGGTTTTATGCACTCATCGGCCTGATGGGTTTATTCTTCTTCCTGCAGCTGAATTTGATGAAACACGTGATCCTGAAAAGGTTCTGTGGGGGTTAATCCGACACCACTAAGGTCAAATAAAATAAAAACACTTTGAATTAAATGTTTTCTATTGGTTTTGTTTAACCACCCCATAAGTGCGATGCAACAGTCCTGTCTGGCACGTGCTGAAAGTTTGATCCTTCAAATTAAAGTTTCCATCTTTGCTGGAATTAAGATAAGAAGCATTTTTACCTGCTTGAGATACCTGAGGGTTAAACGGTGCAATACAAAATACCGTAAAGAGAAAACCTGATCAACACTTTCATTATGAAATAAATAACTATTAAAAGTTCAGTGCTACGGTGATGTCATCAATAATTTAGTCAGACGCACTTGAGTCCAGACAAACAGTCCAAAAGTCTCTAGGCTGTCTTCTCCAGGACATCCTCCTGTGTCTCCACAGGTCAGATTATAACTTTATCCTCTGATTTGCTTCCAGTCAGAAGAACCGAGGCTCTGAAGGCATCGGGCTGAACTGGAGATGTTCCTCCAACCAAACCCTCGTCTGGGTCTGACCGATGGTTAGGAGAGGATGGCGGGGACCCAGCGACTCTGGTACAGGTGGTCCACGCTGGCTGATCGCTTCCTGGCTGCTCTCCGGACGTCTCTGTAGCCGTCGTCACAGAGCCTGGAAATAGCCTGAGGACAGGAGCAAAAACCAGTTTTATAATCAGATTTTATTAAAAATGTAAAACCACGTCAGATTCTCATGGAGCCATCACCGATGCCGCTACAAGAGAATCATCAGATTTGTTCTAAGGGACCAAGAAGAGCCCAGGGAGCTTCTCACCTCCAGCTTTTGAGCCTTTTCCCTGCTGAGAGGCTCCAGGGGGAACCGCAGGTTGTTGGCCTCCGACAGCGACCGAAGGTCAAAGTAATACTTGGCATAAACGCTGGATGGCACGTTGGTGTTGAACTCCAGCAGCTCCAGGAACTGTCGCTCTAATTCATTTCTGGTGAGAGAATTCCAGTTTTTTAATGTTTTATCAGATTATTTTATTGAACATCAGATTAAGGCGGTGGTAAAATCTGGCTTCTTTCACCTCAGGCAGCTGGCAAAAATAAAGCCAATTCTTTCACGGCAGCACTTTGAGACAGTAATCCACGCCTTTGTAACCACTCGGCTGGATTACTGTAACGCACTCTACATTGGACTCATTGCATCATGTATTAGTCACCTACAGAGGGTGCAAAATGCCGCAGCTCGTCTTTTAACTGGCACTCGAAAGTTTGAGCACATTTCCCCTGTTTTAGCTTCACTTCACTGGCTGCCCATTTCTTTTAGGATTCATTTTAAAATCCTTTTATTTGCTTTCAAAGGTCTTCATGGCCTCGCCCCCTCTTATCTCTCTGACCTGATACAGCCTTACACTCCCTCCCGCTCTCTCAGGTCTGCTGATCAGCTGCTCCTGATTGTACCCAGGACTGAGCGTAAATTTAGAGGACATCGCGCTTTTGCTGTAGCAGCTCCAAAACTGTGGAACGAACTTCCATTAGAGATAAGACAGGCCAGTTCCTTATCTGTTTTTAAGGCACTCCTGAAAACCCACCTCTTTACCCTGGCTTTTAATACCTTGTGAGATGTTGGTTTCTATTTTTTATTTTATTTTAGCTGTTTTAGGTGATTCAATGCGGTTTTATCAAGTTTTATCAAGTTTTTATTTGCGACGGTGGCACAGGAGTTAAGTGCTCGCCCCGTAATCGGAAGGTTGCAGGTTCGAGCCCCGCTCAGTCTGTTGCTGTCATTGTGTCCTTGGGCAAGACACTTAACCCACGTTGCCTGCTGGTGGTGGTCGGAGGGACTGGTGGCGCCAGTGCTCGGCAGCCTCGCCTCTGTCAGTGCGCCCCAGGGCAGCTGTGGCTACATCGTAGCTCATCCCCACCAGTGTATGAATGTGTGTGTGAATGGGTGAATGACTGATTGTGTTGTAAAGCGCCTTGGGGGGTTCCAGGACTCTAGAAGGCGCTATATCAAATACAGGCCATTTAATATAGGGCTATTTTAATTTTATGTATCATGTGTTTTATTTATTTATTTATCTTTGCTGTTTTCTGTTTAGTCAATTGTTTTAATGTATTTTCTGTACAGCACTTTGTTCCTGTGCTGGGTCTTTTTAAGTGCTTTATAAATAAAACTGGATTGGATTGGATATTTATCGGTTACTTCAGAGAGATGATGCATCTTCAGAATTAAAACAATAAAGGAAGTTCTCAACAGTTTAATCCTCTCTGTAGGCTGTATGATCTACTTGGTCCAGCCCATAATCTACAGATACAACACACTCACATGTCCTTCACCGTGGTGTCTTTGAGGATCTGGCAGTAGTCGGCGTTCCAGACGGCCTGGTCGTCCCAGACTTTAGAGGCCAGCAGGACGGCACCCAGGACTATCCTCTTCCAGTTCCCAGGACAGATATCCATCTCTGCATACGTCAGCAGTCTCTCCAAGTACACCTGGGCATCAGCAATACAATAAAACGGGTCAAAAACAGCAATGCAGGCCTTAATGGATCCGACTGACCCACTGGAGAGTGAGGAAAAACACTTGTTTTCCCTCTAAGGTGGAATATTGTGGTCTAGAGATGATAAATCCCACCAGAGTGACGATGGCACATTCCGCCGTCAGCTGAGCAGCACTAAACAGAGTTGCGATGAAGCGGTAGATCTGCTTCAGCTCCGGGTCGTGGTGGTTGTAGTCCAGCGGGACCTTAGATTTCTGAAACAAGGAGTTTAGCCGCTTATTTCATGTTCCAGAGAAGCACGCATTTGTGAACAGTTTTAGCGTCTTATAATATCAGTCTCCATCTCCTAAAGTGGAGGACTCTGTGCCACGTGAAGAAAAAGAAAATTAGGATGTGTCGAAAATAAAGGAAAATATTCAGAAACAAGTTGAAGTGGCAAAAACTTTTGATCCTGTGAACATTTATTATGTTTATTATTATTCTATCCAAGGGTTCTAGGTGTGTTTTATAGTGCGGGTTGAGGCTAGCTTTATGCTACATCCATCATAACAGATGCTGCAGATCTTATTTTTATCGTTCAAAATAAGAGTCTCAAACATGCACAGCATCAGATCTGTTGAAGTATATGTGTATAAACTCTTATTTTGAAGGACTAAATGAAGTTGATGTTCCTGCTACAGAAAGAGCTCCAAGGCCCAATCCCAACACTGCGGTACTCTGAAGTGCACTTGGAGGAAGTGCACTGTAGGGCTTCCAGTGCGAGGTACACAAGTGTGCAAATAAGTGCTGCATTGAGACGGGGAGCATTACGTTATCGACTGCAACGCATGCCGGGATGCTGGTTGCTGTGCTACTTTTAAACATCTTTCAATAAAACAAAAGTGTGGAAGTGCGGGTATTGGGCCCAAGATAGCTTCTCGTATACATAAAATATGTAATTAATGACTTTATTCTTCAAATATCAGTTTGGCTTTATTCTTAAAATGTTAACGTTATGCGTTTTCTAATTTTGTTTCCAACACTTTAATTTTAATTCCTAGATGTGACGCTTATGCTCCAGAACGTTTTCATATCCTCAGGAAGGTTTGTTTCTATCTCAAATGCATAAGGGAAGCAAAACTGAGATAGGAGAAGGTCTGAAGAGAGGGAAAATTCATTTTCCTTTTCTGAGAGCAGAAAAACAAAGACACACGACCAAAGTCAAGCACAATTGGAGAAACAAATAACCATAAATGCAAGTAGTTCTCAAAGCAAAGGCAAGTGCAGGATATGATCAATAACTACAACAACAACAAAAACAACAATAAAGAGAAGTCTCACTGAGATAGGATGGAGCTTTTCATCAAAAATATCCAGTAGCAGTCCATTTGCGCTCCTGCAGTTAAAATTAAACAAAAACAAAGAATCCATGAAAACCATGAAATACTAGCATGAGACGCTCCACGCGTTTTGGAGGAAATTTCACTTTTGCAAATTCTCTTTCATTGCGGCACTCCTAATCCAGAATGTGGTATCTGCTAATAATTAGTGCATTAATACATGAGTGCATGCTTCCAGAATTTGTACATGTCCTGGATTTCTTTATGCAAACTTGGTGCTGCAACATAGTTCACGGTATTCCAGTTTTCTCACCTGTTTTTGATGTGGTAGTAAATTGCCAGAGCAACACTGTGAAGACAAAATATGAAAATAAAATTCTAAACAAAAACATGAAATGTAAACTTTTTTTGGGTTGCGGTGATTTATGATCTGATTTCATGTCCCGACCATTTGATGGTGGACTTCAGATGTGGATGGCTGACTGTATTGTTGTCTAGGAAGATGGTTGAGCAAGAACTGTATTTTCTTCTCAATGTGACGTGCTGCACACACACACACACACACACACACACACACACACACACACACACACACACACACACACACACACACACACACACACACACACACACACACACACACACACAGGTTGTCAGAGCACAGAGGGAGAGAATAAATGAAATGCAATTTATTTACAGCTTCTACATTCAAACTTCAGTCAATTTAAAATAATCAATGTTTATATTTATGGAAGACAAGTTTTGATTACTAACAAATAAAAAAGGCTCAACTCACATTATTAATGAGGAGGCTCTTTTGTTTTTCTCCTCCTGTAAAAATAAAAGACAAGTTTTCCAAAAAACCTGCACAATGATACAGATTTTAATGCTAAATGTGTTTAGTACAAAATTTTTAAAATCCACTAAGTTTATAACCAGACAGAATTGAAAAGCAGTTTTGCAATTTGTCCACCAGAGGGGGATAAACTCGGACTACTCACCATTTCTGAAATGCATCTCTGAAAAATGGGAAGCAACAAATTAAATATTACTTTTAAATACACGAGAACATGATAACAGTCATTTTATTACATTTCCAGGGGTGGGGTGTGTGTGTGTGTGTGGGGGGGGGGGGGTGTTGTTTTTAGTTAAACACAAAAAATTAAAGAGCAAAGATGCTCACCCTCATTTAGAGATTTAATAAGGAAAATGGTGCTGGCTCGTGGATGATCTGATGGATTATACTCCAGGTTGTACTCTGTAAAAACAAAGCAGAAAAGGGGATTTACACGCTATTATTAAAGTATTGCAGATTGTACGCCACTTAGATGAATGCATGAACAAAAACAAAACATCACTGATCTAACAAATCATTCATTTAGCCACATTTGCAGTATTCATTTGAAGAAAATATGGAGATTGACTTTTGTTCCAAGTCCAAAATGCGATCAACTTAACAAAACATCTTGTTTTAATAATTATTTTAAAATATTTTTTTTAAGAATGATCGAAGAAACCTGCTTTTGCCTGAAGACATGAACTAAACACTCTTGTTTGGATTTCAGGATTGCAACAAATGCTTCCTTTAAACAGATAAACAAAAACCACGACTCAGGTCGGTGTGAAGTCATTTTGAAAAACTAAAAGCACTTTGATGACGTGCATCATACCAGCATGCCTCTGACTTCTTTACCTGCCCTCATCACTGATCAGACGGGATTTTTACCTTCTGAAGCAGCAGAAATGCACGCTACATGTGCACGAGTAAGTAAAATGAGACTAAATAAGTGTTATTTGTCAAATGCATTGTTTTTGTTATCATTTGAAGACAAAAATGACATACATTGCTAATGCTAACACTAAATCACCAGGTTGGCATAATGAAATATTCTTACTTTTATCCACAAGCACTGCTTTAACGGGCATATTTACGTTTACATATTTCTAAAACCCAGCTTTGCTTGGCTCCACTGCTTTGTGATCAGTGTTGTTTCTGGATAACTGGGTCTGAGGAGAGTTCAGAGCAGCTGGTGTCAAGTGCCGACAGGTGATATTCCTCCACATCTCAGGTAAACTTAAACAAAGACGAGTGATAGGCTGAAGTAAAGTGAAACCAGAGGAGCAGAGCTAACCAACACCTGGGAAAGCCTACCTGTCCGATTTCCTGCTCTTAAATAATCAAACAACAACAAGTTCTACCTGCTCCAAAACTAGTTAGAGCGCTGTTGTGGTTCCTGTCGGGTTCATTTAGCTTCTCTTTCATCTTTAATATTGGAAACATTGAGATCTGTAAACTGGACATTTCTGCTGCATTTATTTTGAGATTATTCAGTTTTATTTTTCCATGTCTGTCAGACGCCCCCTACTGGTACATGTAACCAAGTTCTGGTGGAAATGTTGTTCACTTGCGTGTTTTCTGTTTCACATGAAAATATTTTCATACAAAATATTAATATAATAAAATATGAATGACAGAATTTATTGATACGATTTATCTAATGAAAATAATCTTAAATTTATAAAAAAATTATTTATTTATTTGCTTATTTCATCAAATGAAACACCTTTTAAATGTTATATAATAGAATATAATAACACACTATGGTTGTCGATCCAGACTCAACTAGGACAATTTGAACGAAAACATCTTTCAGCATCTTCACTATCTAAAAAATAAAAAACTGCCTGTCAAAATATTTTTTATCAATTTAAGATTATTTTTATTGAAGAAATCTTATCTATAAATTCTGTCATCCATGTTTTATTATATTAATATTGATATTTAGTATTAAAAGATTTTCATGTCAAACAGAAAACATGCAAATGAATAAAACTTCCACCAGAACATGGTTAAATTTACCAGTAGGTCTGACAGGATGTGATTCTGACTGTATTAATTCAGTTTACAGGATTTATTTCAGCCATCTGGTTGAGTTATAACCTGGGACGTAATTTTGGGGGGGGGACGGGTGGGACATGTCCCCCCCACTTTTTCAAAAGGCAGTTTTGGTCCCCTGCACTTTTTTCCGTCCAAAAACAATGTTACGCTCCATTAAATGGATTTGGTTGAGCACTAGGACCGAAACGGAAACCGGTTTCCTATTAGACCCGCCCAAAAGCTAATCTATTGGCTCTGCTGATACTTGCTAACGTATTATTGGCTGTTGCTGCTGTCACTCAAGTTGTAAACAGTCAGAACGTGCTCACGTTGTTTTGCTAGTTTGGAGCCGCTAGGGAACACCGGTACTGAGTCACATTGTCAACTAGACGCTGTGTAATATCAGAGCTCAGCTCAGCTTCCATTACATAACATTTGAATAAGTGTTCATTTGTGAGTCTTTGGTAGTTAGGCACAGCCAGGAGGCAGCATGTCAAGAAAACGAAAAGTGGATATAAGAGACTTCTTTCAAAGTCAAAACGTAAGTTGGACATGTGACAGACCTGCATTAAGCTCAGACTGACCTCCTCCTTCACAAACATACTCAAAACTAACTTTTACAAACTCATCTCCTCCACATAACTGACTCCTCAGACACAATTTATTCATATTATTATAATAATTATTTTTTATTATTACTATTATCATCATAATTATTATTACTAGTAGTAGTAGTAGAAGTGTAACTTCAAAACTTTTATCATTTAACTTTATTGTAAACTTATCTATTGCAATGCATATTTTCACATTAAAAAGCTCTGAAAAATGAACAGTATCATCATCGTCAACAGATTTTTTTAAGCTTAATGTCAAAGATGTACACTTTTCATTAGATTTATCTTATTTTTTCCATTTATTTTTTGTGTGTTGAAATGCAACAACTGTTTAAAAACTTTTAAGGGAAAAAACATATTTAATATGTTTTTATACACTCAAGTGTTAGGGTGATGATCATGTGTAAAACATTAGTTCAGCATGTCCTCTAACACAGCAAATGAACAAACGGCCAGATCTCAGGAGGACCGTTTATGTATAAATAATTTTTATACTTTTGACTAGGCCTGGGAAAGTAACAAATTTATCTGGACGATATTTTGTCCAACAAATTGTTGATGATAAACGATATCATTGTCAACATTATCTAGACCAAAATAACCACTAATATAATGTTAATATATCATAATAATGCAAGTACACCCTTTAAAATGCAACAAATAAACCTTCATTTAACATTGAAATGTCCAGAACCAGAACTTCTAAATGAATAAAAATAACAAACAAAAATTGAATAAGAAAGGAATCTCACTCCCTGTTAGAAAATGTTGCACCAAAAACAATAAAAAAAGACCCAAAACAATAAATACAATGGCCTATCCATTGTCAACAGCCAAAACTGCACTTCAATAATGATAATAAATAAAAATAATAATAGAGTTGTAAATTTTTTAACTTTGATATATATATATATATATATAAATATAAATATATATATATATATATATATATATATATATATATATATATAGATATAGATATAGATATAGAGGATGGAAAAATTATTGAGATGGGCACGTGACGTGTCAAGGGGTCTTTACATAACACCCCCCACCCCAAATCCGCACAAGCCTGCTGTGTCCCCCCCACTTCTGAAATCAAAATTTCGTCCCTGGTTATAACATTACCAATATGTTTCAGATGTATAAGAATCTGATGATATTTAGATTATATTAATCAAACTGAACTAATGTCAACAGTGAAAGTAGTTTGGACATATTTATTTAATAAACCGTGACTGAAGCATCAGTCAGCCCTAAGTTTTGTATTTTGTTTTCTTCTGGATCAGATTTATTTTATTTCTATCCTCAGATTTTCAATAGGCAGAGGTTAAAGGTCACATGAATAAGTGAGTCAAATGCAAGAATCGTAGCTTTTCGTTTCTGAATATGTTTTCTTGCCAAATGTGGGCCCAGTAACAATACATTTTATACACCTTTTCAGTTAAAAAAACGAGCTTCCATCCATCCATTTTCTTCCTCTTATCCGGAATCGGGTCGCGGGGGCAGTAGCTTAAGACGAGAGGCCCAGACTTCCCTCTCCCCAGCCACTTGGGCCAGCTCCTCTGGGGGAATACCAAGGCTTTCCCTGGCCAGGTGAGAGACATAGTCACTCCATTTTGTCCTGGGTCTACCTTTAGGTCTCCTCCCGGTTGGACGTGCCTGGAAAACCTCACCAGGGAGGCGTCCAGGAGGCAACCTAACCAGATGCCCGAGCCACCTCAACTGGCTCCTCTCGATGTGGAGGAGCAGCGGGTCTACTCCGAGCCTCTCCCAAATGGCCGAGCTTCTCGCCCTATCTCTAAGGGAGAGCCCAGCCACTCTTTGGAGAAAACTCATTTTGGCCGCTTGTATCCGCAATCTCGTTCTTTCGGTCACTACCCAAAGCTCATGACCATAGGTGAGGGTAGGAACGTAGATCGACCGGTGTGGTTCTTTTTCCTTATCAAAAACAAGAAAGAGACAGGTTTTGTCCAAACTCAGCGGGGGGCATTTATTTACACAACTCATCCATACATCACCAACACTTCACAGGGGACAGCGTCCAGCTTCGATCTAAACACCTCGGCTGGAGATCCTTCTGCAAAAGCCCACTCTCCTACACCACGCAGCATCAGTTATACTATTCAACCCCCACCTCCCTTTTGATTCTGAGAAATGATGGGGTGCTACTTCCACATCCTAATATGGTCAAAAGTAGTTGAAACTTACATAAGCTGGGCAGATCAACATGTTTTTGGAGCATGTACTCAGCAGCTGGGCTGCCTGATAACCGGCTGGCATTGATGAGCAACATGTCAACATGCACGTACACAAAACACTGCTTTTAGCTCCTACACCGGTAAATCGAGAGCTTCGCCTTCTGACTCAGCTCTCTCTTCACCATGACAGACCGGTACAACGCCCGCATCACTGCAGATGCAGCACCAATCCACCTATCGATCTCACGCTCCAGTTTTCCCTCACGTGTGAACAAGACCCCGAGATACTTAAACTCCTCCACTTGGGGCAGAACCTAATCCCTGACCCGGAGAAGGTATTCTACCCTTTTCTGAATCAAGACCATGGTCTCAGATTTAGAGGAGCTGATTCTCATCCCAGCTGGTTCACACTCGGCTGCAAACCGCTCCAGCGAAAGCTGAAGATCACGTTCTGATGAAGCCAACAGGACCACATCATCTGCAAAAAGCAGAGACCTATCCTCAGGCCACCAAAACGGATGTCCTCCACACCTTGGCTGCGCCTAGAAATCCTGTCCATAAAGGTTATGAACAGAATCGGTGACAAAGGGCAGCCTTGGCGGAGTACAACTCTCACTGGGAACGAGCCCGACTTACTGCCGGCAATGCGGACCAAGCTCTGACACCGGTCATACAGGGACCTAACAGCCCGTATCAGAGGGCCTGGTACCCCATACTCGCGGAGTGACCCACATCTGGGCGAGGGAACACGGTTTCTATTTATATAATTCATCATAAGAGGTCTTCAGGCTGCTCTTTGTCTGATCCCTCATCTTGGACCTGTTTGCCATGGGTGACCCTACCAGAGGCAGAAAGCCTCAGACAACATAGCTCCTAGGATCATTGAGACACTCAAACCCCTCCACTACGGTAAGGTGGCAGCCCAGGGAGAGGCTTATTGCCTCAATTAAAACTTAATGTCCTTTAAGTTTTTTTCAAAAAATGTTTTCTTTTGCTGAAAAAACCCTGAGGGACTAACAGGTCTGAGCTCAGTTGAACCTTTCAGGTCCTGCAGATTATTCTCAGGGTTTATAATCCAAATGTTCTGGATGATGGTGTACTCTAGATAAAAAAACAGGTCTCTCCCCAGAGGTCTCATCCATCTTCTCACAGCTGCTTCTCTGGGGGTCTCTTTGGAGATTTTTCACTCCATTGATTTCCAAATGAAGTCATCTAATCTCCATGTTAGTGTCTGAATTCATAACAGCGTGAATGGATTAGATACACTTCACTTTCAGTCACAGAGACTGACGTCCTCTCTGCATGACATGCCTCCATCCTCATCTAGAGGGTCTTCATGTCTCCGTGAAAGCAGCATTCCAAGACATTGTGGATGCAGAATGGAGTCGGTGTTTCCAGCATTGAATGGGTTCCCTGTAATGCATATGGGCATGTGTGCAGGGGGCACGTCACCGAAGACAAAGACTGTCCTCATGATCAGGATGTCGTGTGCAGCTCTATCTCCTACATGAGAGGACATCCTCAAACCTCGCTGCTGCTAGTGCTGCTGCAGCAGCTGTCTTCTGGATCTTTTACCTAACATGATGAAATGATGAGAAGTTTGCGTGAGAACAAAGCTGCAGATTTTGTAGAGATCATGACTGCAAAAGCCACAGATGCTGCAAAGCAGGTGCTTAAAAACAGGTGCACTGAATATTTGCCTGAAATAGCTACATTTCTATTTATTTCACCAAAATATTTATATATTTGTATTCTTTCATATACATTTATATATTTATCTAATTCAGTGGATCTAGATGTTAGTCTGTGACTCCAGATTTGATTCTTTAATTGGACTGATCTCAGATAATAGAAACTGGTCAACTGCAGATGGAGAGGTCGGTCAGCTCATCCCCGACTTCAAGTTTCACCGTAACACTAACATGAGCACATGCTCCTCCTGGTCTTTATGGTGATAGTTTACGTTTGTTTTAAAAGCTGCAGTTTAGTGAATCAGGTGGATTAGTGCTTCCCCAGCTGGTGTTCAGTCTAAAGGATTCCACAGCAAACAGGAAGAAAACAACACATGTTGGTCGTTGTATGGGGTATAAACGTGCAGGAGAGATGGGTGGAGTCATGCTGTGACATCGGCTGATCTGGTTAGTTCTTATTTATGGTCGTACATGCTGGTTTCTGATTTCACAAAGATCCCTAAACCAGGAAAAGATGGAGCAACACAAATCCTTCAAATAAAATAAATTAACACCGTGATCTAAATTAAATAATAGCTTGGGAAATAGTCGATTAGCAAAACAGACCACAGATCTGCTGTTGTCATAGCTACTACATCTAATCTGAAGCATTTACATCAAATACTAAATGGATATTTATGCAAATATAAAAATATTCAGACTTAATTCTCTGAAATTTCATTTTAAACTGGTAAAAGTGGAGTGGGCTTGTACAGTTTGTAAAAAAAATCCCTAAAACCTGGCTGATGCCAGAAAAAAAAGCAACCCATTTAGAAATCCCTTTTCAGTGTTGAATGGGTTGATTGTAATGCATATGAGCATGCATGATGGGGGTTGTGCGGCATGCATAGTTTCTTTCATGTACAGGATGAAGACAAAGGCTGTCCCCCCGGATCTGGATGTCTCCTGCACCTTCAGTCCACACATCTCTGTGCTCCTGCAGCTGCACACATCTGTCCCTGTTCCCCAACGTGAAGGATGAGGAGGAGCATCAACAGAGACGCTCTGCAGGATGGCACAGGTGCAGATGTTGGATAATGTTTTAAATCTGATTCCCTTATGTTTTAGGGTTGTGTTCGTTTGTCATTCCAAAATATGAACATGGAATATTATGAGTTTTGCTATTTTTACGGTCTTTGTAGAACTTTCTTGTTAAAAATCTGCAGTTTATATAACATCATTTGGAGCATTGCCTACAGTGAGCCATACATTGATATAATTGTGTTAAATTATCATTTATATGTAAATAATATAAAAAACACGCTCATCCTCCCAACCACAGCTAAAGTAGATTTCTCGTTTTCCTCTCGGGTTTGCAGACTAAATGCTGCTGAATATTAATGAATTAAAACGTTACCATTAGTGTTCTCCCTATCGCTGATGTGCTGCAGGTTGCATCCCGTCTCCTCCCTGCTCACTTCCGAGTCCTGGTAGAAGGAGTCCAGCCTGGAGTGGGCATTTCTACAGAGGCTGGGGCTATCAGACGCGCAGCAGGAGGTTAAGCTCCCCATCTCTGGCCACTGAAGAAACCCTGGAGGTGGAGGCAGTCTGAACGATCCTTTACGCACTGAAACCGGAGCTGAACCCAGCCGGTCGGTGCAGCTTAACGGAGATCATGCTTACACTATCATTAAACTAAAATTAATTATAAACATTATTAAACCGTTGGTGTCCACGAAGAAACACACACAACCGAAGGCTAGGAACCGATGTAGGGTGAATAAAGGGTCACCTCATCTTGAGAAGCGGCGCACCATATATATATATATATATATGCGTTTTTGTGTGCGCTCACTCACATTGTTTTACGGTACTTCCGTTTACAAGCTTTCAAAATAAAAAAAAAAATTGCACATTTATCACATAGACATAGAATATATTCCACAAATCATGTCTGTGATGTATCATGTTATAGCATGTTACACATAAAATGGTAACACTTTACAATAATGGTCCCAAAATCAGCTTATCAGCTTTTTGTTGTTTCATTGCACCATCTTTTATGAAAAAGAAAGTAAATTAATCTTATTTCTCAGGATTTACCCAAATCACAGAAAACAGCAAGTGTGACTTTTTTTTTACTTTGTCACAATTAACTGATTTATTTCCTCTTACAAGCTGGTTATAAATCATTTCTGCTGCAGCAGATGAGGAGAGGCAAATTTAATAAAATTTAATGTTATTTTAAAAACTCAAACAGCATACGATTTTTTTGTTTGTTTTTATCAAACATGTCAGATATAAAATGGTTAAATGGCCTGTATATAACACCCTCTCTGCAAAGCCATAAGGCGCCTTACACCAACCAGCCACTCATTCATCACGCACACACATTCACACATGAACTGTAGCCACAGTTGCACTTGGACACGCTAGTGGAAGCAAGGCTGCTGAACACTGGAGTAAAGAACCACCACCAGCAGCAGCAACAGCAGCAGCAGGCATGGAGGGTGAAATGTCAAGACTGAGCGATGCTCGAACCTTCAGCCCTCTGGTTACTGGATGGACAATTAATTCTTCTGCTGCCGTAGCAGAACAGCTGGCCTTGTCTTGAAGAAGATGGAGTAGGGTTAGTCAAGGCTTCCACCTGATCAGAGGTACAAATAGTTTAAAATCTCAGGTTTATTTTTTATTGTTTTTTTACTTTAGGAACCCCATTAGCTGCAGCAAGCTGCTGCTATTGTTCCTGGGGACTTATTAATACAACTTCAAAAATAATCTTTACATAGAAGACAAAAAAATAAAATAAAATAAAATATAAAAACACTAAAAATACAGAAACAAGTCCACCCCACCAAATCAACATTGATGCCCATAACAGATATAATTTTACCATCCCAAAGCTTCCATTATATTATACACTTATTTTTCATACTATATCATAACATAATTAAACCTTTAAAAACAAAATAAAATAAAATAAAAGGTGCTGAGGCAGATTGGTAATCTGAGTTCTGGAGAATCCCAGAACAGCCGGTGCACTCCAAGGCTAGTGGGTGTGCTTCAGGGCAGTGTTGGTGAAGAAATACACTCCTCGATGTCTAATGGCTTTATTGACAAGGATGAAGGAGCCCTGCGGCAACATACAAAGCTGAGTGAGCAGAAGCTAACGGCAGCGTGAAGCAGCAGCATGGGCTGAAGACCAAAGCTAAGCAATGCGATAAAATAGGTAAATAAATGCAGCGCGGCTTAGCATGCATACTGACAATGCGATCATTACATTAGCTTAACAAGCAGGTGAAGACTTACAGATACAAGTCGAACAGTAGCATGGATAGACAGCAGTGTGATGGTTGAGCAGCAGCAATCCAAATGAGAAGCAGCAGTATGTACAGTGAGGGATAGTCACATGTACGTGACTTCAGGCACATCCCTGAATACAGCTTTTTCCCTCGAGGCTTGATCGCAGCACACCCTAGTGGCCAGTGGTGACCTCTGCATCCCCCCCAGTCCAGGAAGCCGTGTGACACACCGGCACAGTGGACTTATGACCTAACCCACTGGCCAGTTTCAGGTACATAAGCTTGGGTGGCCGCTTTTCCCAACCGGAGCCCGCTGGCTGGGAGGAGGGGGGTGATGGGCACTGTTCCGGGGTCTGCACCGCTGGGGCAGCGTCCCCGTTGACTAAATCTGGAGGATTCTCGGCCGACATGAAGTCGCGACAAGGTACCGGCTGGGCGGTGCAGGGGTTTGTGCCTTGGGGCTCGGGTGGTGTGTGTGACTGATCTGGCAGGGGTCCCGCTGACACCGAGTTGGTGGGACCTAAGTCGTGTGTCTCGTCATTGGACGCAGGCAGGGGCGTAGCGCTCTCTGGGTGAGTGCAAGGGGTGGCCGGGGTGAAGGCGCGGAGAAAGCGCTAGTTGCGCAGGGTGAGGCGGCCAGACCCATCGACCCTGACACAGTGTTGGTTGTGTCCCAGTGACTCTACTACCACCCCAGATCTGTCCCATGCCCGTGGGCTACAGCCAACTAGGTTCTGGAGGAACACCGTCTCCCCGACTACGAGAGGGCGGAGCGGTCATACGTGTTCTCTTAGAGACTTAGTGGTACGGGCCATCCGAGTCTGGAGGGCCTCTTCCTTTGCCGTCCATGCCTGACGCCAGAGCAGACGGATGTGAGGGTTGGAGAACTTCTCCAGCCTATTAACAAATGATAGCGAGTCACTGAGGAGGCGACCAAAGGTGATTTGCGCGAGCAACAGGTCGCAGTCGGGGTCAGGCGTATTACGCAGTTGCAACATCGCATGCAGAAAGCGGTCATGGTCGAGGCTCTCAGTCGGGCCGGTGTTTTAGACTAGTAGACGCTTCGCCGTCTTGACAGCCACCTCCACCCTTCCATTTGACTGGGGGAACCCAACCGAGGACACGCGGTGCTTGACCTGCCATAAGCGGAGGAAGTCCACTGTGCGCCCTGCAGAGAACTCCGGGCCTCCGTCACTTGACAACTCCTCGGAAACACCGAACGTGGCGAAGAAAACCCTTAAGTGATGGATAAGCCCAATGGAGCCCTCGAGATTGGTGCCCGCGGGAGAGCTCATGACTTCCACCCAGCCGGAGAGGGGATCGCCAACGACCAGGTAGTGGTGACCCCTGTAGTCGAAGAAGTCTGTGAACACCTCCTCAAATGGCATGGATGGCGGTGATGCCAGCATGGGAGGTGTGGCCGCCTGCGAGGGGGAATTGCGGTTACAGTCTGCGCATCGTTCCCTAGTCAACTGGATGTCGTTAGACATCCCAGGCCAGTAAACGATGGAGCAGGCCCGTCGTTCCATTGCCGACTTGCCCTGATGGGTGGCGTGGAGGTGCTGAAGTACCACATGATGAAGGGACGTGGGGACAACGACGCCGTCACAATACAGCATGACCCCATCTTGCGCATACAGACTCACAGACCTTAGACAGGTCGGCCAGCGCCGGGTCCTTTGGGTCAATGCTGCCCCCGTCTTCAATGAGGTGCAGGAGGTGGGAGAGGCATGCGTCCGCGGCCGTCTCCTGTACAAGGAGTGGCCAGGCAATGGCAGCAGACTCCAGTGCATCGCTGCAAATGGACGCCATATGCACCGACTCCTCGCTATTGGTCACATTCCATGCGCCCATGCAGCGGCCCTCATCAGAGCCAGAGGGCGAGGGATACCTGGAGGCTGTGTTGGCAGCGCAATTGCTCTTGCCAGGCAAGTGTACAATATCAAAGCGCCATGGGAGTGTGTGCTGTTTGAGCCTGAACGGCGAGAGTTAGTTATCTCATCCAATGTCCGGTCCCCAAGGATCTTCACCAGGGGCTTATGGTCGGTGACCACGACCAGGTTGTCGCACCCCTGTGTGAAGTATCTGGTCTGCTCCAGACTCCATGCTACAGCCAATGCCTCCCCCTCAATAGCGGTGTATCACTGCTCAGCGGAGGAGAGAAAGCGTGAGCCGGCCAGAGTAATTTTCCGTCCATCCGGACAGCAGCCAGGGACACCGGAGCTGCAGGTGCAGTGCTGCTGGAGGAGGAATTATCCAATGCCGTGCCTGGATCAGTCTGGGCGGAGACAAGTGCACCTCTCCATGTCGTAGACCTCTACGCCTGCCCAGATAGAGACCACGATGGCCAGCTTGGATGCCTGAAATGCTGCCTTTAACTCGGATGACCACACAAATTTGCATCAAGGGCTCAGAAAGGGCTTAAATGGCGCCATTATATCACGCAGCTGCGTGTAGTTGGCCACCTGATTGACCAGACCAAACCAGCTCCTGATGTCCGTGGTTAAGGTAGGCGTGGGGAAGTCCCTGATGTAGAGCCTTGCACGGGCCTAAAATCTGAGCCCGTGTCCGGCCCGGCCCGAGGGGGTAGAGCCCCAGCCCGACCCGGCCCGAAAAGTTTTTCAGGATTCTCTGGCCCGGCCTGAGCCTGAGCCCAACTTTTTTTAACCAGCTAAATGAAAACAAAGTGCGTCAATCCTGACCAATGTGTTAAAAGACGTGCAGGATCCAATCAATTTGTTTTTCCCTCATTTACTGTCACGGAGATAA